GGTGTTCCCAATGGCTTCTCTTTCCATCCATTAATATCAAAAGAGACAAAGCGAAGGGTCCTCCTTCATAGCGATGAGTGGGGTAGTAAGGTCCTCTTTTATGCCCGTCAAGAGTTGAAGCAGCGCTAGGATGGTATGCTCCAAAGATTTCCGTGACGCTTCAGAAGTTTTATCATGAACTAGGGAAAGGTGCGGTTTCCAGTGCTACGAAGCGAGCTCTTTTGAACAGCGGAACTTCCAGCTGAGCACATGAAAGTGTTAAAAATCATATAAACTTTTTTAGCTCGCCTATTACTCACCTAACATTCTTCAACAGTATGTTCCTTTGATCGGACCCATGGCTGCTTATGTTGGTACTCACTATCACTGGATTACTGTATACACAAATGTCTTCGCATTAGTTGCCCATATTGGAGAAAGTCTCTATGCTTTGTATTTGTGCATGAAGCTGAAGTTCAGGTACGAGCGCTGTTCGTTCCGAAGAAAAAGACGTTAATCCTGTTTTTTTCAGTATGTCATGTTCAGCAAGCTGGTTCGTGCAGACGTTCCTCCTAGGATTTCCATCGCTTAACATACTTAGTAATTTTGCATCGAAAACGAAAAGAAAACGTTGATTACTAGATTGAACATTGAAACCTGATAAATATTCTGTTTTGGTCATGTCTTAATTTTTTTGAACGTGGTGTTTTCTGATCAGGGCAGTTGGCTAGTGTTCCGAGGCGAGTACTGTATTGGCGTATTTATGTCGCTTAGCACGAATCGACGGGGCGTCGGTGAATTGTCGGTGTGACGTGAATTTTGGAGCAACGCCAGCTCATTTTCCCCCCACTCGCGCTCCTTTTCTGCCAATGACAGTAAGACGAGATGGTGCCCCGTCGAAATCCGGTCCTACTGGCACGTCCCGTCATTCAGGACTGCATAAGTTCGTGCATTTTCAAGGGTGAGAAAAACAGTCCAAGGCTGCTTGACTGTGATCCATAACGATGCTGTTAGAAACTGCTGTTTTACGTGCTGCGACAATGATTGCAAATCATTTGCTTTCATATCTGAATATGGATTTGTAGACTAGAAATGAACAAAACGGAGGAGAAAATCGTCAGAGACGCCGCAACTAAAGCGCCAGCATTGGACGAGTATCCGAACAAGCGACACGGCTGCACAGGGGAGAGCCAGCAGGTAAAGGATGATCTGAAATACGAACGAGGCGATATAAGTCGATCCCTAGAATGAAAGCAACGCGTTGTACCTGTTTTCATCAAAGGACTGCTGGCATATCTCGTC